AAGATTTTATTTATTTATTTGACAGAGAGAGACACAGTGAGAGAGGGAACACAAGCAGGGGGAGTGGGAGAGGGAGAAGCAGGCTTTCCGCTGAGCAGAGAGCCCGATGCCAGGCTCGATCCCAGGACCCCGGGATCATGACCTGAGCCGAAGGCAGACACCTAACGACTGAGCCACCCAGGCGCCCCGATTCCACTTTTTTAAACAAAAAAAACATATGTCAGAAATCACTTAGGCATTCACCAACTGTTAGACCAGTTATAAGACTGAAAAAGATAATGCCTGTGAGTGTGGCTTACGCAAAGGCATTTTTCCTCAATGTAGGCATAGTTGTTAGGATCGCCTTCATGATCTTTCTAATTTCCACTGATGCAGCCAAAATCCCTGGAAAAGCGTAAGACAGGGGTGCAGGTATGAAGGGGGCTGTGGGGGTATCTTTGAAAATAACCATACTAGATTTGAATCCTGGCTCTGCTGGCATTTGCCGGTCTGTTAGCCGGATGTATACAGTCCCTTATCTCTTCATTTGTAAAATGGGGCTAGTGATACCCACGTCTCAGAGTGTCTCTGAGGAATCAATAAGATGATGGATGTGGACTACCTGGCACAGAGCCTGGCACTTATTAGACAATTTAAAAAAATGTGTGTTCCCTTCCCATTCGCTTCTCTGAGAAGCCGCAGAGATTTCCTGGACTCTTCATTCAGCAATGTTTATTTCATCCCCATGCATGCAGGGCACCATGCAGGTGCTGGGGAGACCAGTGTGAATGTGAGAGAAGCAGTTTCTGTCCTTTTGGAGTTTATAGTCTAATGATGACATTGGACACGGACCAGATAATTTTGCAAAAATGAATTCTTTATGGCTGAAGCAGAGCATTGAAGAAAAGCAACCCAGAGTGCAGCAGGAGCCTTGGGAATGTTCAGGAAAGGCTTCTGAGGAAGGGATCTGAGGGACGGGGGAAGTAGATTGGTTGGAGCTGCGGAAGGTGGACCAGGGTTACCTGGAGAAACCAAAGGAAGGCCAGTGTGACTAGAGCCTGGGCAGGGCATTCCCAGCTTGAGAATTCCGATTCTCACATCCCAGACAGAAGTTCATCCCAGTGTCGGTCTGGACATTCTATGGCCAGGAGCTCAGTACTTAGGTAAGCTGGCCCGTCTGGAGGATGGTTGGTACACCCAGAAATTCAGTTGCAACATGTTGGCTACTGTACCACTGCAACCAGGAAGTCGACAGCTGGTACCAAGTACTTGGTCTTAACCTGAAGCAATCAGTCACTCTTTTACCAAGCCTCACTTTTCCTCTCTGGCATTTATCTGTGTTGTAGTCACCTGTTCTTACGTCTTCCTCCACTGTCTTTTAAGCTCCCCATCAGAAGAGAATGTGTCTTTTTCTTCCCTCTGTCCACAGCTCCTAGCACAGCCCTTGCACATATAAAGTGCTGTTGAGTGTTATGTTTGTTGGATGAATAATAAATGATGCTTTGCAAAGGTTTAGTCATTTGATCTTAGGTAAATATTAACCCCCAGTAGTGTTTTATTGAGCATCTACTGTGTGCCAGACTCATTACTGATATTACCTCATTAAATTGCTTTTTAGAGACTGTCGTTATTTTGCCTCCATTTTCCCCTCAGCTTTATATTTTAAGAAATTCAGATAAACACCCAATAGTGCAATTGCTGGGTAATAGGGTAGCTCTATTTTTAATTTTTTGAGGCACCTC